ATAGCAACTCCGTCAGAGCCCGGAGCAGCAGAGTTGGCCTTTGGTGTCCAAGCAGAATAGTGTACATACTCTGGAATAGATGGTAGTCTCCCTTCTTGATATGCTCCCACATCTCACAAAGACATAGCACATCAGAAGGAATTCCTGCCGATCATCGGATAGCGAGGATGATTAGCTAATAGTGACCCAATTTATAAAAGAAATACCATTATCAAAAAGTATATTCTCATTCAAGCAAGATTCCAGAATCTTGATTTGTTTCTTAAATTTACATTTGAAACATTACATTTGAACGTTACTAGGGTTCTCACACATATCATGGGGATCCCGGCGCGAGGGGATGGCGGCGAGCAGCGGAGGTATTTCAGAGAAACGCCGGATGTGAGCGTCACGCCGGTGGATTTCCTGTGCTCCACGAAGGAGAGCGATCTCTTCCTGGCGTGGAATGTGACCAAGATCCAGGGATGGTGGAAATCTAGGGCCTGCGCTAGAGAATTCGCTGCCATGGTTTCTCCTTTCTCCGCTCTCTTGAGATTTCCTTCGTTTCCCTTTTGGTATTTCAGCTTTTTCTCTCTTTTTTATTTTGTTTTGTTTTGGCAGAAAGAAGCTGCGCGTTTGCTGCAAGCGGCCTGGAGGAAGCACCGAAATGCCAGGAGAATACGAAGAAAACGGGGCCGATCTAGAAATTCACTGCACGCTGCTGCATGGACGATCCAACGCATGACCGATTGTGTGGATTGGTTGCTCTCGTGGATGCTGTCAACCAAGGGAGCACTGTTCGCTCGGCCATAGAGGTGAGTTTTTCTTTGTTTTCATCACTCAAAGTTTGCATATAAACTTTGCATTCCAGGAGCGATACGAGGCTGCGTCGGCTCTCAAGAGACAGCTCTGGGAGGAAGTCCAGATCGATAAGCGTCGGCTAAAAGAAGAATGCAGCAAAGCCGAGGCTGCAAAGGTCGACGAGACGAATCTACAACAACAGCAAGTGGATGAGAAACCACTGCTGCAAGCTCTGGAGAATGGATCACAGGAGGCTCAGGAGCAGCAGCTGGATGGAGATGAAGATGGCAGCTCCAATCCTGCGCAAGCCTTGAGCGAAGATCCAAACGAGAGGCAGCAAAAGTGTGCTTCGCAGCACTCGGACAGGTCCCGGGCCGATATGAAAGCCGATATCAGGTTGCGGGCGGAGAAACTCTACGTTATTCGGTCGCTTCCTCTAGGTTTGGACCGGAGGCACATCCGGTACTGGCAGTTCGTCACTAGTAGTAGCGGACACGACCCTGGGTGTAAAAGGATCTACTTTGAATCGCATGAAGATGGCCACTGGGAAGTCATCGACACCGAAGAGGTGAGTGTAGTATCCTTCATCTTATTGAGTTGCATGGCTTTAGAGAAATGTTTGTTCTCCCAGTTTTCATGGATGGTTTTCGTTTCTTACGTGCAAGAGTTTTCTTTTCTCTTCTCTTATTGGTCACTCACTAAACAAAGTTTGTGTCCATTCCGGTAGGCTTTGAACGCGCTGATGAACTTTCTGGACATAAGAGGCACGAGAGAAGCAAATCTCTTCGTAGCTCTCAAGGAGCTTGAAGGCTCGCTAAGGCAAGCCATGAGCAGCTCTAGCACCAAGCAGAACCAAGACCACCACCAAAGTCACCACACCGGAAATGGAAATGGAGCTGGAGTTCAAGCTGGAGCTGCGAGTGGAAATGGAAATGGAAACGACTCTTGCGAGGGGAGTCCATCTTCCAGCGCCGTGGTTGGAAATGGCGGCAAAGACTCGACGAGCTCCGACGCTCGGGTAGGATCGCTCAAAGTCGAGCTCGGAAGATCAGCGTCGGAGAACTCCGGCGCCATGGAACGATACAAAGACATGGAAAGGTGGCTGTGGAGGCACTGCAGCGTCAAGGCGCTGCAAAGAGGTGGCGAGAAGCGACGAGAGAGCGAGAGCGATGGGATGATCGCCGAGTGTGAGTCGTGCCATGACTTGCGCTGGGCCGTCGACAAGCACTGCCCGTTTTGCCACTCCACCGGCGAGGAAGATGTCTGGAGTGATTTCTCGCAGCACGTCCGCGACTGCGAGCAAAAGATGATCAGCAGGGATCCCGCCTGGAGAATCCAAGGTGGTGTTCTTCCTCCGCGAATACAGTTGCTCAAGAAACTGCTGTTTCTAGTCGAGGTAACTTTCGTTTCTTCTATTGCATTGTCTTGAAACGCTTCCTTCTTCCCTAGATTTGTATTCCTTGCGAGGCACTTAAGCCTGCATGGTCGACAAATTCTTACAGAAAGGCGTGGTGTCAAATGCTCAAGGTTGCTTCTTCGGCAGGAGAAATTCTCCAGGTAGAGTTAAAAGTTTTGGAGCTTGGTGCTATCTTTCTTTATCTCTTTTTCTTGTTTTCTTTGCAGGCATTCATGGATCTGGAGGGAGCAATCGACGAGGACTGGATCTCTTCCTCGTACGAGTCGATCGAGCAAGTTGGCAGACTCATCGGCATTCAGAGAAAAAATCCCCCCTGGATCCCGCAGACCTCCGCTGCTGTTGCTCTTCGACTGATGGTCTTTGACTCTTCGATCGCCTACACCGAAGAACAAAAGCAGCAGCTCATGGACAGGCAACGAAGAGTAAGCCATCCATCCATTTCGCGTGTTCTTTTGCTTACTTTTTCCTGAGTTTTTACTTTCGTTCGTGTTTTTAAGTTGAGAATCGGTCCTTACGCTTCTCTCCTTCCAGGTTCCAATGAGAAGATCGAAAGGAGAGGCCCGCGAAGTTTTATACGAGGCTGGTAGTACTAGGCCGGCAGAAGGAGAGGAAGACAAAGAGACCAAGGAGGCAGAGTTTAATTCCCAAGAGGAGGAGCTACCACCACAGTTTTACGAGAGGAGTGGTGGTGACTTTGGAGCTCATCCATCTTGGAGCGCTCGGCAAGAGAGCGCCGCCGTTCTACTGGAAGAGGAAGAAGAAGATGATGAAGACGAAGACAAGAGGCTGGCAATGAAAGCTAGTGGCGAGAGTGACGATAGCTCGCAGATGAACTGGGAAGGCCAGGATTCTTTCGAGGAGCTCGAGCAGCCAGGCCATGGAAGCCTCCATCATCTGGAAGAGCTGGAGATGGAGGAGGAAGAGGATGGATTGATGTTGGAAGAGGAGGAGGAGCTGAGTGACGAGGAAGAGGAGAGCGAGGAGGAAGAGTTCCAGCAGGAAGCGTCGAGCAGTGATACGGACGAAGAGCAAAACAAGCACGACAACTTGGTGGTGGCCAAGAACTTGATCAACATCAATGCGAGCTTGGAAGAAAGCGGTGATGATCTTCATACTGCTGCTGCTGCTAGCAAGATCAATGGGGGTTCCAGCGAGAGAGTTGTAAACTGCGGCTTGACAAGCGAGTTAGAGTTTGAGCGGGGGACGTATGAGGAGTGAGTGGAAGTTTTACTTTCTCCCATACAGCGAAGGTGTCTCTCTTCTCGTCGTACAGTTTGATTTGTGAATTCAACCCTGACTTTTGTATGTAATTTCTTCTAGGAAAAAAGGTTTCTTTATTCTATGAATTTGCTTTGAGATGTCCTAGATTAAACATTTGACAGAAGGGGGCACAGAAGAGACTCGTTCTTCATTTTCTTGATACTTAAAAAAGTGATGTGTGGGATTATGATTGAACGCTTCTAAGTCAGAATTTATGCTACATGCAGAGCTCTCTACCTGATTAAGGTTAGGAAGAATTATAATCCATGTTTGAATTAAATCCAGAATATTCTTATTCTAGAGTCTTAGAACCCTAAACGTCCAAACCCTAAAGCTGAGGGTGGCATCGATGGATGCATCGGAACTGGAGAGTGACGCAGCGGCATCGGAACTCGAGAGTGATGCAGCGGCTGAGTTGATGCTTTTGGAAGAGGAGCCATTCGTGAGAGGTAGTGTCAAAGCTTACCTTGCTCAGCCTATGAGGGCTGTGCCTGCTGTCATATTATACATAGTAGAACATACAAGATGTTCACATTCTAGCTGACTGCCAGGACTTCCACCAATGCATGAAAGAACTGATTGCCACCTCCTGTGTTGCCACTGCAAAGCATTAGGACGCATTTGTATATTCTAGGCATCTTCTATGTACTGTGTGGCGCCTATGCCATTCACTTTTTTGACAGAATTTCCAGGAATGTTTGCTGTGGCGGTGGCGTCAAAGGGACTCCACCACTGTGTTGCTGGCTACGGCTGCTAGGTGAAGACTGAAAAGGGAACAATGGCTTTCCTCACAACTCATATGTCTATGGCAAGGCAGCAGGTTTAAACCAACTAGTTTCTGAGAGAAGTAAAAGATTTTTCCTGCAGCTTCTCTCTTTGGATTGCCTTGCCAAGCCTATGTGGTTTTCCAGAAGCAAAAAGGGATTAAAGTTGTGAAGTTTAGTAGCATGAACTTAATTCTTCTGACTTACATCACCTATATTACAACTAATAAAAGTGAACTACTCCACAATAAAGAAAGTCTCTCAAAAAGTTTCATGCATACTTGCATGGTTCTTTTTGTTTAATAGAATTTGAAGCTTTAAATATATAACTTCGAGGTTATTTATTGCTTGGGGAGTTCTATAGTTGATATTAACATCTTTTCTTTAAGCTTCTTTTGCTTCTTTGTTTTCTTCTTATGTTCTTAATAAGCTTATTATTCTAATATTGTTGGATTTTCTAGATGAGAATATAGTGTCATTAGTAGTTGTTATGTTTGATATTTAATGTTTATAAGGTGCAAAAACTAAATTTACCTTTTCTTGACAAGTTTCATGAGATTTAAAAGGTTGAGTTGTGCATTTAAAGACTTCATTATAAGTTTAAGAATTTTGTATCACTTGGATAAATTACCATTTTGGCATTTATATTTTTACTATTGTCTTAAAGATGACCTTTACTTTGTTTTTTATGACCATTTATGGCTTATGGTGCATTTGATTTTTATTCTACACTTTCTTTATGCTTACTAGGTGCCTTTGACATTTCTAATCTAAATAGATATATAGAACATTGTCATATGACTAAGAAATATGCATATATCATGGTATAGATATCCATTGGTGTTTCATTATATAAACTTTTATATAGTTATGATCTGATATTGCCAATCCCAAAACTTATGAGCATTCTTCTATTAATTTGAGTCAAGTTTGCTAAACACTTAAACTATATATAAATGGGATAACAATAGTGTTACAACTTGTATCATTAACCACCTATGGAGTATAAAGTAAATATGATTTATTTTTTCTTAATTTTATAATATATAATTTATTTAAATGGCTCCTTACCTAGTGAAAGAGATAGTATTGAATATTAGAGCAAGCTGAATTGCAAATTTATAAAGTTCAGCACAATATTTATCTAATGTTCCTCTAGATTCTAATTTATCAATATGAACACCTGGGATGATTGTGAGGTCTAAATATATGAATAATGCTATATACTATTATTAGTATAGTGGGATAGCTTTTAGATAATATATAATAATTTGAAATATTAATTATTAAGCATATAAAATCTATAATTCAGAATTTTCCAACAATAATAGTGGGAGACTTTGATATTAATGATGAATCAAAAGGATTAATAATTTGCTACACATTGCATGCTGCAATGCTTAGTTTGCTTAATAGTAGTGTTATTCTTTAATTATAAAAATGTTTATAATGTATAAACACAAGATTAATCTTATTTAATATTAATATTAGATGGTAGAATAAACTAGAATATACTAGGAAGTGTTAAGTAAATTATAAACATGTTTATAAATTATAAATATAAGATTACCATGAGATGGTAAAATATTCTAGAATATTTAAATATATTTTAAATATATTCACTACCATTATTTTAGCTATGTTCCTAATTCACTCCCCGCTTAAGCAAACGAAAAATGTGTTTTCTCAAGATTGACATGCATTTGTTAAAACCCTAGGTTTTGGTTATGAAGGTCCTATGCTCTCTAGAAACAGTGGGCGAACATTAAGGGACTCCTCACGTCATCTGGAGATCAATCCTGAAAATCTTCTAGTGGGCGCCAATGTGGAGGAAGAAAGGCTCGATCTCTTCTACGTGGACGGCGTGAAGAGACAGAAATTCGCTTTCTGGGGTGGAGGTGGTGGTGGAGCAGTGATGGCCGCCAGTGGCAAGAAAGAAGAAAAAGAGATCTAAGTTTTGCCTTTTATTTCTTGTGTTTGGAACTCTCGAGGTTTTACGGTTTCAAATGAGGGTTTGGATTCAGCATAGTGACCGCCCGGCGTTACAGTTCGAGGTCGGCGCAGATGGTTTGATCGATGTAGCGGCCGTTTGCAAGCAGTTCCTCCTCGATCCGAATGCAAATCTCCACGTTTCAGGAGTGGCCATCGAGATGATTGCTGGTAAGGCAAGTAGAACTCTAGATTCTATCTTGGGGGCGGCCACTGAAGGTGGGGATGGCACAACTAAAGACAATGCCTTGATCATAAGGGAGGACCGTTATCTTTGGTTTCGACACCAGAAACCGGTATTTCTCTTGTTTTCTGAAGTTTTTTGTGCTCATACGTGATGTCCAGGATGGTTCGACCGACACAGTTGGATTATTCTCGGACGGTCTTTTTGACTTGCAAGACCTTTGTAGCACATTCGGTCTCGACCCCTCAAGCGCTGTACGTGTTGCTGGCCTTCGTCTAAAGTTTACGGACAAAGGAAGGAGTCTACACACTGTCCGGAAGGTTCAAGGTGTTGGAGGCATCGAGGATGGCTCGTCGCGAGATACTGCGTTTACTGTTGAAGGCTCGCCTGCTACGACTCGTAAGTTATTTCTTTCTTTTTTCTTTTCGTTCTTTTATCATAGGAAACTAAACAACTCCCATGGTTTGCAGCCGGCCTGGCCCTTATTCCTGACAAATTCAAAGCAGTCTGTAGTGTATCAAACCCGAGCGCCGAAGTTGCCACGCTGGAGGGGATTGAAAGAACTCTGGACAACAAGCTTTTCAAGGATATGAGAGCGGAACGTGGTATGCCGATTGCACTCGGAGCCAGAGCATTCGGAACCTTCATCGACACTTTCAACTCCAAGGCGCCCCTTGAGGCAGGACTTCTGGCTGCAGCGCGTGACCTTCGTGACCGTATGCAGAAGTTTTATCGGACGGAAGCACTTCGGCGGCAAGAATTCGCGATGTTCCTCGAATCGTATCTGGACGACGACGATAAGTACGTGGTGGTTGCTAACCGGGATGCAGTAAAGTTAAAGATCGGGAAGCGATCTCGGGATGACAGCAGCGTGAGGAGGACTCCTGATGTACAGGTGAAAGCCAGGATACTGGGTATACTGGTGGTTCTTCTCACCTGCGAGGTGAAACCGGAGATGGGTTTCAATGGCGAGCCGCTCTTGGAGGCCCTCTTTTATTATGGCACTGATGCTGCAGAGAGCGTTGTTGTTAGTCGGCACCACTACACAGGCTGTCCAGAGCTGATTGTCGAGCTTGTTGGCCCCAACATTCGCGTTGGCGGGGCCATATATCACGACAAGGCCATTTATCAGCCCTTGACCGACTTTCTATCCCTGCTTGATTTCGAGGATGATGCTCACCTGTTCAAGGTAAGTTTGATACTGGATGGAAGCTTACATTCAGTGCTCGTTTTCGTTGCAGTTGATGCGGTTTCTTCATGCCACTCGACAAGCTTTGAAAGAACTCGTGAAGGTGTACACTAGCGCTCTTACACTAACTGGAGTGCCTGTTCGAGTAGATACCCTGCACTGGCCGTATGCGCTTCGAGAAAAGTATCCAGATGCTGCTGCGATCCATCAGATAAAAAACACTCTTGTTTACATGGTTACGACTGGCAGTGGACAGCGAAGGGTGGTGAAGTTTGTCAGGCAGTATGGGGAGGATGCTCATGCGCAGTGGGAGCAAGCTGGATATGCACCGCACCATACGATTGAGCAACTCCCAGGCGGTTGGAAAATGGTGGATATGGACTGCCTCACGGCAGCGTATGGCTGGCGATCGGTGTTGGAGCTCCGTGGCATGGAGGAGACGACGTCTGATACTTGGAAGACCATGCAGGATGCAGTTTGGCGGGCACTACTGCAGCTACAAGCTTTGCAACCTACGATGGTGCATGGTGATCTGAGGTTAAACAACATCATGTACAACGTCCAAACGGGGCAGCCTTGTTTCCTCGATTTCGATTGGGCAGGACAGGATGAGATGGTTCACTACCCACTGAACTTGAGCTCTAAGATTGCCTGGCCAGCTGGAGCGACTCCCATGAGCAACATCAAGGCGATCCACGACCGTGAACTCCTTCAAAAGGAGCTTGAAATGATCTCGACATGAAGCATGTAAGGGGTGCAGATATTGGGACCACCAGGACGTCCCCTAGCAAGGATACCAAATTGTCTTGTCAGAAGCAATTAAGTTCTAAGTAATGGAATAATTTGCTGTGTTTAAGTAATATTTCCCAAGTTGTTAGATATTTAAATTTGCTATGCTTTTAGTAAGTATTTTGTGTAGTTGTATCAAAGCAATTGCACCCATGTATCTTGCTATTAGAAATTTAAAGCTCTAGATCCTGTCAAGACAGGTTCTAAAGCTGTTATGACATGATTTTTAATTAAACTTCCTATTCAATAACAACAAGTTGAATAATATTATAGTGGCATTAGGTGTTATTGGCCTTGAGGGACGAGCATATACTTTTTATTTTGCACTGGTAAACAACCAAGATCTAAAGTCCATAAGGTCACTTCAACATTAAGCCATGTTAATTTGACATATAGATTTTAGATTTATAACTAATACTAAAAGCTTGAGTATAAATCCCTTTTCAAGAACTATTATTCTTTTTATAATTTCTTCTTGTGTAGCCATTTAATCTTTCAATATGCAAGGGCCACAACATAAAAGGCTGTCCATAGAAATGCTATAGAAGACTGCTAGTGACAATTATTACTTATGGCTTAACATAAAGGTAAACTTAAGGTAAGGTATTCTTTCTAGGAGGTTTTAATTTAGAAATTTAAACAACAGTTTATATTATTAAACCTTGATTTTAACAGAAAAGCATCTACAATATGAATAGAGGTACATTGATGTTAAACTCTTACCATCTAATATATAGAGCCAAATCAAAGTATTTAATATATATAATGTTTCTTTCCTCAGCTTTATCCTGTTACATATACAATAATTTTAGCAAGGGACAATTTAGAAAAATCCTCTCTCTTTCTTGTTTGGATTAGTGTTGCATGAGTCTAGTGTCCAGAGGCTTTGATCACGATTTGCTTTCTCATTTTTCGAGTTAGTTTTGATTCTTTGACTCCATATGAGTGATAACAAAAAGTTCTGTACCTAGCTTCCCATTGATTTAGTTTGCAAATATGATGTTTTCTTTGGATGGTATGCAGCTCTTTGTGACTATGTGAGTGTGAATGAGAATATCAGGCGAGACAAAGAGAAATGAAAAGTGGCTGGCTTACTAATATTAATTAAAAACTAGTAGTAAACATTTAAATATTTAGGATTTTATAAATGAGTAACTCACTTTAGAATTACACTAACAAACTAATCCTTACATTGAAGATGCCTTCCTCTTCACAGTGAGGAAGGGAGGGAAGGGAGGGCGGGGCATGATGATAGCTGTGGGGATCCATGCCTATTGTTGTCTGGTAGATAGCATACTTGATGGCTCCCACTGTTCTTGCTAGCAGCCATTGCTCAAAAGCCTATGCCATCCACCAGCTATAATCGTCTATTGGACTCTTGAGCACCTCGAGATCAAGGCCAAGCTTTGCTGTCCATTTCTTGAGCTCAGATCACCAACCTCCATTTCGCTCGTATACACAGGCTGATGGAGTCATCGATAGCTTAAATCAAGAGCTTTCGTTTGCAGGTTGCTGAGCTGCCGCTGGGTCTTCACTTAATTGATCATCCGTTTCCACACAAGGAGCTCCAAGGGCCATAATTCAGACTCGAACAGATGATAGGATATGACACATCTCCTGTATGAAGCTCCATGCGGATAAAGTGGTATTGGAGCTCCTCCACTTGATCCCAGAGAGCATCCATCATTCCTAGACAAGATGACCGTGGAGAGTTCAGCTATGAAAAGTTGTCGCTTGGCACTTCAGTGGGTGACAAGTGCATTGGAACAATCTGAGTGGAATGCAAAGTATGCACCACGTGCCGCCGTAATGCAATCTATGATCCCCACCTTTCGTGGATTGTTCTTGTGGATAATATATCTGAGGTACTTGTAATGGTCTACTTTCTGAAGTGCAATCCCATGGTAGGAGCATACCCTGGCCCAACACCATTGACTTCCATGCGTGTGGCCTCTCACAGAATTCGCTGAGTGCATTGAGGTAAGCTGCATTTGGCGAGCTGAGGAGCCGAACAGAGTATATCGTTTACGTAAAGCAGTGCATATAAATACATTCCCGAGAGTTGGTATGGCGTGAGTGTTTTGCCCTGTATCATGGACTCTAGTGCGTCAATGTAGATTGCGAAGAGTCAGCCGTATGCTTTTCTTTAACGTCCGTTGCCAAAAGACGATTACGGCTACGCATGAAATGGCGCCATTCCATGGCGCATGAAATGAAGCCCATAGCCAACAGGAGCACTAGATCTGTTGTATGTTGGGAGCCTTTCAGCCCTGCTAGAGCAGCTTGTATAATAGCTCAACTGTAGGGATGGTCTCCTTGCAGTACATAGCAACTCCGTCAGAGCCCGGAGCAGCAGAGTTGGCCTTTGGTGTCCAAGCAGAATAGTGTACATACTCTGGAATAGATGGTAGTCTCCCTTCTTGATATGCTCCCACATCTCACAAAGACATAGCACATCAGAAGGAATTCCTGCCGATCATCGGATAGCGAGGATGATTAGCTAATAGTGACCCAATTTATAAAAGAAATACATTAACAAAGTGGCAATTATAGCAGAATCTTGATTAAGTTCATGTAATTCTAAATTAAATTTAAATTTGAAACATTACATTTGAACGTTACTAGGGTTCTCACACATATCATGGGGATCCCGGCGCGAGGGGATGGCGGCGAGCAGCGGAGGTATTTCAGGGAAACGCCGGACGTGAGCGTCACGCCGGTGGATTTCCTGTGCTCCACGAAGGAGAGCGATCTCTTCCTGGCGTGGAATGTGACCAAGATCCAGGGATGGTGGAAATCTAGGGCCCGCGCTAGAGAATTCGCTGCCATGGTTTCTCCTTTCTCCGCTCTCTTGAGATTTCCTTCGTTTCCCTTTTGGTATTTCAGCTTTTTCTCTCTTTTTTATTTTGTTTTGTTTTGGCAGAAAGAAGCTGCGCGTTTGCTGCAAGCGGCCTGGAGGAAGCACCGAAATGCCAGGAGAATACGAAGAAAACGGGGCCGATCTAGAAATTCACTGCACGCTGCTGCATGGACGATCCAACGCATGACCGATTGTGTGGATTGGTTGCTCTCGTGGATGCTGTCAACCATGGGAGCACTGTTCGCTCGGCCATAGAGGTGAGTTTTTCTTTGTTTTCATCACTCAAAGTTTGCATATAAACTTTGCATTCCAGGAGCGATACGAGGCTGCGTCGGCTCAAGAGACAGCTCTGGGAGGAAGTCCAGATCGATAAGAGTCGGCTAAAAGAAGAATGCAGCAAAGCCGAGGCTGCAAAGGTCGACGAGACGAATCTACAACAACAGCAAGTGGATGAGAAACCACTGCTGCAAGCTCTGGAGAATGGATCACAGGAGGCTCAGGAGCAGCAGCTGGATGGAGATGAAGATGGCAGCTCCAATCCTGCGCAAGCCTTGAGCGAAGATCCAAACGAGAGGCAGCAAAAGTGTGCTTCGCAGCACTCGGACAGGTCCCGGGCCGATATGAAAGCCGATATCAGGTTGCGGGCGGAGAAACTCTACGTTATTCGGTCGCTTCCTCTAGGTTTGAACCGGAGGCACAACCGGTACTGGCAGTTCGTCACTAGTAGTAGCGGACACGACCCTGGGTGTAGAAGGATCTACTTTGAATCGCATGAAGATGGCCACTGGGAAGTCATCGACACCGAAGAGGTGAGTGTAGTATCCTTCATCTTATTGAGTTGCATGGCTTTAGAGAAATGTTTGTTCTCCCAGTTTTCATGGATGGTTTTCGTTTCTTACGTGCAAGAGTTTTCTTTTCTCTTCTCTTATTGGTCACTCACTAAACAAAGTTTGTGTCCATTCCGGCAGGCTTTGAACGCGCTGATGAACTTTCTGGACATAAGAGGCACGAGAGAAGCAAATCTCTTCGTAGCTCTCAAGGAGCTTGAAGGCTCGCTAAGGCAAGCCATGAGCAGCTCTAGCACCAAGCAGAACCAAGACCACCACCAAAGTCACCACACCGGAAATGGAAATGGAGCTGGAGTTCAAGCTGGAGCTGCGAGTGGAAATGGAAATGGAAACGACTCTTGCGAGGGGAGTCCATCTTCCAGCGCCGTGGTTGGAAATGGCGGCAAAGACTCGACGAGCTCCGACGCTCGGGTAGGATCGCTCAAAGTCGAGCTCGGAAGATCAGCGTCGGAGAACTCCGGCGCCATGGAACGATACAAAGACATGGAAAGGTGGCTGTGGAGGCACTGCAGCGTCAAGGCGCTGCAAAGAGGTGGCGAGAAGCGACGAGAGAGCGAGAGCGATGGGATGATCGCCGAGTGTGAGTCGTGCCATGACTTGCGCTGGGCCGTCGACAAGCACTGCCCGTTTTGCCACTCCACCGGCGAGGAAGATGTCTGGAGTGATTTCTCGCAGCACGTCCGCGACTGCGAGCAAAAGATGATCAGCAGGGATCCCGCCTGGAGAATCCAAGGTGGTGTTCTTCCTCCGCGAATACAGTTGCTCAAGAAACTGCTGTTTCTAGTCGAGGTAACTTTCGTTTCTTCTATTGCATTGTCTTGAAACGCTTCCTTCTTCCCTAGATTTGTATTCCTTGCGAGGCACTTAAGCCTGCATGGTCGACAAATTCTTACAGAAAGGCGTGGTGTCAAATGCTCAAGGTTGCTTCTTCGGCAGGAGAAATTCTCTAGGTAGAGTTAAAAGTTTTGGAGCTTGGTGCTATCTTTCTTTATCTCTTTTTCTTGTTTTCTTTGCAGGCATTCATGGATCTGGAGGGAGCAATCGACGAGGACTGGATCTCTTCCTCGTACGAGTCGATCGAGCAAGTTGGCAGACTCATCGGCATTCAGAGAAAAAATCCCCCCTGGATCCCGCAGACCTCCGCTGCTGTTGCTCTTCGACTGATGGTCTTTGACTCTTCGATCGCCTACACCGAAGAACAAAAGCAGCAGCTCATGGACAGGCAACGAAGAGTAAGCCATCCATCCATTTCGCGTGTTCTTTTGCTTACTTTTTCCTGAGTTTTTACTTTCGTTCGTGTTTTTAAGTTGAGAATCGGTCCTTACGCTTCTCTCCTTCCAGGTTCCAATGAGAAGATCGAAAGGAGAGGCCCGCGAAGTTTTATACGAGGCTGGTAGTACTAGGCCGGCAGAAGGAGAGGAAGACAAAGAGACCAAGGAGGCAGAGTTTAATTCTCAAGAGGAGGAGCTACCACCACAGTTTTACGAGAGGAGTGGTGGTGACTTTGGAGCTCATCCATCTTGGAGCGCTCGGCAAGAGAGCGCCGCCGTTCTACTGGAAGAGGAAGAAGAAGATGATGAAGACGAAGACAAGAGGCTGGCAATGAAAGCTAGTGGCGAGAGTGACGATAGCTCGCAGATGAACTGGGAAGGCCAGGATTCTTTCGAGGAGCTCGAGCAGCCAGGCCATGGAAGCCTCCATCATCTGGAAGAGCTGGAGATGGAGGAGGAAGAGGATGGATTGATGTTGGAAGAGGAGGAGGAGCTGAGTGACGAGGAAGAGGAGAGCGAGGAGGAAGAGTTCCAGCAGGAAGCGTCGAGCAGTGATACGGACGAAGAGCAAAACAAGCACGACAACTTGGTGGTGGCCAAGAACTTGATCAACATCAATGCGAGCTTGGAAGAAAGCGGTGATGATCTTCATACTGCTGCTGCTGCTAGCAAGATCAATGGCGGTTCCAGCGAGAGAGTTGTAAACTGCGGCTTGACAAGCGAGTTAGAGTTTGAGCGGGGGACGTATGAGGAGTGAGTGGAAGTTTTACTTTCTCCCACACAGCGAAGGTGTCTCTCTTCTCGTCGTACAGTTTGATTTGTGAATTCAACCCTGACTTTTGTATGTAATTTCTTCTAGGAAAAAAGGTTTCTTTATTCTATGAATTTATTGATTGCTTTGAGATGTCCTAGATTAAACATTTGACAGAAGGCAGAAGAGACTCGTTCTTCATTTTCTTGATACTTAAAAAAGTGATGTGTGGGATTATGATTGAACGCTTCTAAGTCGGAATCTGTGCTACATGCAGAGCTCTCTACCTGATTAAGGTTAGGAAGAATTATAATCCATGTTTGAATTAAATCCAGAATATTCTTATTCTAGAGTCTTAGAACCCTAAACGTCCAAACCCTAAAGCTGAGGGTGGCATCGATGGATGCATCGGAACTGGAGAGTGACGCAGCGGCATCGGAACTCGAGAGTGATGCAGCGGCTGAGTTGATGCTTTTGGAAGAGGAGCCATTCGTGAGAGGTAGTGTCAAAGCTTACCTTGCTCAGCCTATGAGGGCTGTGCCTGCTGGGGTTGACGCATATCATCGTTTCCTGTTGTCGACATCACCTCCTCTGGTGGATCTCTGCCCGCAGGACTTCGAGACGGACTGCTGGGATAGCTTCCTCTGTGATATGAATTCTTGGTTCTCTGGGCTTCCAGACAGGCCTCTGAGATCAAAGCCAGAAGTGCTGATCGATCTTCATTTCAGAGGTTTCCTTTTCTCAGCGGCTGACACGGTGCTGCAACTCGTAAAGGGACCCAAGGATGTGTGTGCTGGCATGGCGAGCTATGCCATTGGGAACTGGATAGGTGCGCCGGAGCTTGTGGTGAGCAGCAAGGGCCATAGCCCGCTTGTTGTTGGTGTCATGGTGGGGGTCATTGACACGGGAGCAGTTGCGAGGGTCTATGCTTACATGCTGAGCAGTGGTTCTTCGTTTGGGGTCGTCTCATCCTACGCAGAGACGAAGTTTTGCGCGCGCTTGGACAACCGGTTTCTCTTGTCAGACCCTGTTCCACTTCCGCTTATCGGCATCAGGTTTCTGATTCACATGGCTACTGGACACAGGGTGCAGCAGAGTACCAGGCCACTACCTTCTCCACGAGGCTTTGCGTCGCGCTTTGCGATGGGTGTCTTTGAGACGTGCTGCCATGTCGCAGGGGTGCATCGCATGGCCAAGATGGTCCACGAAGTGGGCAGCTTGGAGGCTCGGGATCTTCAGATTCTAGAGTTTTTGTCCGGGGCCACGGGAAGGATTTCCGCTGTTTACCGTGCTCTGTACAAGGGCAAAAACGTCGTCGTGAAGATCACGGACTTGACCACAGGTTAAAAGCTTATTTCTACCAGCCCAGAGCTTTCACCAAATTGTGATTGGCTTTTGCAGGTGTTACAAGTGTCCAAGACTGCTTGATGAAGTGTGTGAGGGAGGTGGATGCGTACATTCGGCTGCATAAGCTGCAGCGAACTTGTATCCCTTGCTTGTTTGAGTATGGGTTCTTGTGCGGCGGGATGTTCTTCTGTGTGGTGATGTCGGATGCTGGCAACTCGGCAGGAGAGGGGTGGTCGCCGGTCGATCAGGACGAGGTAGAGGCCGTCGTGTCTCGAGCACGAAAGGCTCTTGAGAGCTTTCATGCTCGTGGAGTGGCCATGGGTGACCTTTGCGTCGAGAACATACTTGTTTGGCCACATGACAAGAGAGTCGCCATAGTCGGCTTTGAGGAGTGCCTGGTGGGTCCAGCTTGTTCTAAGGTGGCCATGGGCAACGATATTATTGCTCTTCGCGAGTGTGAGCTTGTGTTACAGCAGATGGTGTTACAGGAGATGGCGTCCATGAAAGCGACGCGCTCACGAGACACGAGGGGTACTGCCACAGCGGACTGGGAACTCTGGCTTGCAGACGTGGTCGATTCTGCCGAGTCTGGTGTGAATCTAGAGGATACAGAGGAGACAGAGGATACAGAGGATACAGAGGATACAGATACAGAGGTTTGTTTCAGCTTTACTGCTATTAGGTACTTATTATGTCTTGCAGGAGTAAGCTGACGAGGTTCTCCAGCTTTGTTCTTTCTGTGCTTTCTTGTTTTTTTCTTTTCCTTTGCTGTCTTACTTCTAATCCACTCACAAAGATTAGATATTCATGATATTTCCCAGCAGTTTGTAGAAGCTTTCTAGAGTTGCTAAGTGGTGGAATAGTGCATGGCCAAACTTCACAGTAAGCAAAGGCAGAGGTCCACAACGAACGGGAAGCTCCACAAAGCACCTCCACAAACAGCTTGCAGGCCGCCCAACATTTGCTTCCTGTCAAAAGTTGGAGAGGAGAGCAAAGTCAGTTGGGACTCAGGCATCAGCAGCGGGAGCTGGCACAGACTTTGATGGTGAAGCCAAGGCTTCCTCCACCATCTCTATTCCTGTTGCTCATCTTTGCCTAAGAGGGTGTTGTGTGGAGGGTTCTTGTCTTTGAGGTGTTAAATTTGATTATAGTGATCACAGGCTTTAGGAAAGCTCGAATTAAGACGGTTCATTGATGAGGATATTTTGAACAGGCCTACGGCCTGGAAGACAGGAGAACATCATATTATACATAGTAGAACATACAAGATGTTCACATTCTAGCTGACTGCCAGGACTTCCACCAATGCATGAAAGAACTGATTGCCACCTGTGTTGCCACTGCAAAGCATTAGGACGCATTTGTATATTCTAGCCATCTTCTATGTACTGCATGGTGAAGACTGAAAAGGGAACAATGGCTTTCCTCACAACTCATATGTCTATGGCAAGGCAGCAGGTTTAAACCAACTAGTTTCTGAGAGAAGTAAAAGATTTTTCCTGCAGCTTCTCTCTTTGGATTGCCTTGCCAAGCCTATGTGGTTTTCCAGAAGCCAAAAAGGGATTAAGTTTGTGATGTTTAGTAGCACAAACTTAAATCTTCTGACTTTATATATTTGGACATGCTAATGACTATGATGATGCCTTTTAATAATTGCATTGTCTAAATCAAGGGCCATGTGAGTTAATTATGCAATTCAATATTCACTCTCTGAATTTTTTGTTTCGTACATAGCCAAAGATATTATAATGCATAAAGTTGGGCAACACTTTATTAAGATCCTATGCTACGCTTGCACCAATCACCCATGACAATGCTTTATGACTTGCACAATGTTATGAGATATCATTTTTCCCATTTTTAGTTGCACATATTTTCTATAAAAGATAATTTTGTTTTTATATGATGTTATTATTGCTTATGTTCCCAAGGACAAAAGTAAGACATAGAGATGGTTGTAATATTTGTTACTCGGTGTGTGATGAGATTAATTATATGTATTAATGTTATTAGTGTTTTTTAGATTAGCATCCTCTATTTCTTGGGTGGAGTCCTTAGCATCAATAATTTTTTATTATACTACCGTAGTGGAAAGTCATGATATAGAAATTCTTTAGAGTAATAAGAGCCTTTTATCCTTCTTTTAGGAGTACCATCAAAAAGTTCATTTGGTATCAATTCATCAAATGTTCACTTTCCAAACTTTTTTTTTATAATAAGAGGTCATTTATTATTTTCTTTTTATTGGTTGATATATATTCAAAAATTTATCTTTTATCAGTCTACTTGTTGCTATACATTGCCTTCTACAATTGCATTAACATAATCATGTTAAATGTGACCTTGAGACTTCTCCCTTTTATATAATACTCTTTTTTATCTTTTTTATATCTCCTCCATTATCTACTTCATTTTTCTATTTTCACCTCTATTTCCATCATTGTTCTCTCCATTACTTCTTTTTATGTTTTTTTTTTCTATTCTTCTATTTCCTTTTCAGATCACTTAAATAGTTTTTAGTTAGGGCAATTGATCAACTCAAGAAGGAGTATAGTGATCTCTTCACCTTTGACTTATCTTT